GAACCTAGAGCTGTGTGTGAATTTGAGGCCACTAACATTTGTGCCAAATCTTGGCCACCACATGTCCTCCCTCCCGAGCCCTGAGTTGTAGAATTAGGAATTAAACTGCAAACTGTAAGAATTTAGGAATTCTTTTTTTATTGCTATGGACCAGGTGGCCTCGAACTCAGAGATCCACTTGCCTCTGCCTCTGCCCCCAAAAGCAAGGATTAAAGGTGTGTGCCACCACCGTGCCCATCTGAATTTAGGGATTCTACTTTGTGACACAGGGTCCCTTATAGACCAGGCTGGGTTTAAGCTTACTATGGAATCCAGGACAGTCTTGGACTTTCGGGTCCTTCTGCTGCTACCTCTGGCGTGTCAGGATTATTGCACAGACGCAACATCATACCAGTCGTGTGTGTGTGTGTGTGTGTGTGTGTGTGTGTGTGTGTGTTTGAAACAGGGTCTCTCTTCGTAACCCTAGCTGTTCTTCAACTAGTTATGTGGAATAGGAACAGGCTGGCCTAAAACTCTCAGAGAGCGATCCACCTGTCTCTGCCTTCAGAGTGGTGGGATTAAAGGCACGCACCACCATGCCAGGTCCACACCTGCTTTTATGTGGTATTGGCCCTGCAAACACTCAACCAGCCGAGTTACCTCCCCAACCCCTTGTTTTGTTTTAGCGTTGGACTTAAGGCCAAAGCCTCACTCGTGCTGAGCTATGTGACTGTTTTGTCTTCCTGGTGAGGATGCTCCTGCAGGGTGGGGCTGTGAGTGCCTTCGGGAGTTGGCTGACCTCAACAGTCCTCTCAGCTTGCGTCCAGTATCCAGAGCTGTTCCCTGGCTGCATCTACCTGTGCTTCTCTCTTCTCTTGTAGACGGAGTCCATAGCTGGTGAGGCCACTGAGCAGGGCAAGGCCGGGCCCTGCCCGAAAGAACACCAGAGTCCTTCACCGGCCCCTGTGCCTCAGAGCCCACCGGGCTCTCCTGCTGGCCCCACCATGACATCAGAGCCTACATCACCTCCAGTGGTGCCACCTCTCCACTCCCCCAAGTCCCCTGTCTGGCCCACTTTCCCCTTCCACAGGGAGGGCAGTAGGATCTGGGAACGTGGTGGTGGTATCGCTCCTCGGGACCTGCCCAGCCCTCTGCCTACAAAGCGGACCAGGACATACTCAGCGTGAGTACATTGCCCTCCCCCAGGTCCCATGAACTTTCTCTAGGCCGGGGCCAAGCCTGCCTGTCCTCCTGGAAAGCTGTGCAGCCTTCCAGTGACCTCTGTGTCACCTCCCACATTCCCTCATCCCAGTTACGGTGACTGGAGTGCAAGGGGTGAATGAGCCATGTCCGCAATTCGGAGAGGTTCTGAAGACTGGGTAAGGACTTAGCCTGGGGTGCAGTGAATTAGGACACCTAGGTGAGTCTGAAGATGCGTCAGATGAAGAAGGAGGGGGCTTGAGAAACATAGCTTTAGGGATGCATAGTGAGACCGGCTCAAAAATAAAATAAAATAAAATAAAGGACTTGAGTGTTACAGGTGGAACATCATAGAGTAAATCTTTAGGGGAGGGTCGTGGACTGCCAGGGACTAGCCTTGGGCCTCTGGGGGGCGGGGTGCTGGGTGAGGCCAGATGGGGAGGGTTTTTCACTTATTGGTGGTGGTGGTGGTATGTGTGTGTGTGTGTGCCTACCACAGCCTGTGTATGTGGTTGCTTGTGTGTGGTGTGTGTGTGTGTGTGTTTACCTACCACAGCCTGTTTACATGTATTTTTGATTATGACTGTGTGTGGTTGTGTGTGCACATGTGTGTGTAGGTGTGTGTGTGTGGAGGTCGGAGTACAACTTCTCAGGAGTGGGTTCTCTCCCTTCCACCATGTGGGTTCTGGGGCTCAAACTCAGGTGTTCAATCTTGACAAGGGCATTTTTACCCTGAGCCATCTCCTTGTTTGTTTTCTGTTTTGGTTTTTTGAGATGGGGCTTTGGTTGGTTGTCTTAGTCCAGATTTCTGAATGCACTTCTGTGCCTGGCTGCAAGGCGTTTATTATCATTACTACTCTGGATAGCAAGCGTGCATTGTCCTGTGTCTGACCCAGGGACAGAGCAGATGCACATGAAGATTAGTGGCCAGCAGTGGCTCAGCTGCCATGAGAGATGGCAAGGTGCCTCTTAGCTTTAGTTTTTTTTTTTTTTTTTTTTTTTTTTTTTTTTTAGTTAATTTAATTATTGGTTCTGAGATGGAGCCTGAGCCTTACACGTGGCAGGCAAACAACCTACCACTTAGCTCCACTCCGGAATCTCCCAAGCAGAAGCCATTAAAGTCTCAACTCAGGATGGAAGGCGCTATCTAGAGGGCACTGAGAAGGAGCCAGGAGGTGCCCTTGTACAAAACCGAGACACACTGGGCAGGCCATTGCCCCACCCTGGGCCCCCACTCTTTGTTACCTGCTGAATGGCAGTATTGTTGGGGGCCCAAGAACAGGCTCTCCAGGTCAAGCTCCAATCCCTTACCCTCTCCCCAGGACAGCTCGAGCCTCGGCCGGCCCCGTGTTCAAGGGCGTCTGTAAGCAGTTCTCCCGCTCACAAGGCCATGGCTTCATCACCCCTGAGAATGGCTCCGAGGACATCTTCGTGCATGTTTCTGAGTGAGTCCCCTCTGTTTCCATTTCTGATTGGGCCTTGTCTAAGTGTCCAGTGTCACCTGATCCTCCCCTAGCTGCTGAGGTGGGTGTTCCTGCTGGCTATCCCTGCTCTGAGGAGTCCTGGGATGGGGTGGGCTGGGGCCATTTAGGGATCAGTAGGCAGTCCCCAGAACCATGGTAATCACTGCTGAGACCCTGGGGTCCTATGCTAAGATCACGGGAGTCCTGAGAAGACACCTGCTTCTCCGTCCCCAGAGAGGGAAGGACTTTCCAGATTGCCCTTTCACAGCCCAGAACACTTGGGCTCTGAGAAGTTGGCGGAGGGTCCCTGGTCTAGCAAGGCTAGAGGCAAGGCCAGGGGCCACAGTGCCGTCTGCAGACAGGTTTGTTCTTGTGCTGATCCTTCCCCTTCTGTCCACCAGCATCGAGGGGGAGTATGTCCCCGTGGAAGGCGATGAGGTGACCTACAAGATGTGTCCCATCCCACCCAAGAACCAGAAGTTTCAGGCCGTAGAGGTGGTGCTCACCCAGTTGGCCCCCCACACTCCCCACGAGACATGGTCTGGCCAGGTTGTGGGATCCTAGGCAGGTGGGGGGGGGGCATGCCCATGAGGAGGCAGGCAGCAGCCCGTTCTGTGCTCCCACCGTGCTGCTGATCAGCCCTTGGGTGTGCTCGTTTGTCCGTCTGTCTGTGCTTTGTGGCTGTGAATGTGTGCTTCTGCCCACCTGTGACCCATGACTTGTGTGATCTGGCTTAGGGTTGGATGGAGTGCAGCCACCAGCCCTGCCTTGGCCCGTCTCTCCTTCCTCCAACCCTGCCACAGAAACACACGACCTTCTTGCCCTCTTACCTATATACCGTGGGCCTGCGTCGTGTTCTTGAGAACCTAGGGAGACCCCTCTCCCATGAGCCTGTTCCTCACTGCTGTCCTCAAACCCACTCAGTCTGGTTTCTAGCCCTGTTCGCTTGTGTTCCTGTCTCCTATGCTGGACCTGGGTGTCTGCTCTGGCCTGGACGCTTCCTCTCAGAAGCCAGGCCTCTGAGTACTTTGTAGGGCCTCCCACTTTAGGGAGGAAGCAGACAAAACATGGTTCATGGCCAGCCCGTGCCATTACTTAGCTCATCTTCCTGATGCCATCCTTTTGGTACCCTGGAGGGAACACGGCATAGCCAGAACCTCTATACTCAGCCGGCAGAGGCTACTTTGAACCCCAAAAAGCTAGGTTCCTCCAAGCTTATTGTCCCCAAGGTGAGGAGGGGACATGGTTTCCTCCAGTTTGGACAGAACCATCTCTTCTCCCGTGATGCAAACTCTGTGGATGCCCTGCCCAGTGCTGGCCATGACAGCAGCTGAGGATGCAGCGATGGACTTACACACCTCCTCAGGCAAGGCCAGGTCCAGGCACCCAAAGGAATGGTCCTCAGTCAGGGAGACCACTGGCCTTGCCCATCCCTCAAATTAGACCCGCTTCCCAAAGTTATACAATGGTTCCTATAGATCCCTGACAGGCCGGTAGCTGAAATGGCACTTATCTCGTTCATCCCTCAAGTGTGACTGTCCCTCTTACCTGGAGTCCGTCTGGGCTAAGATGTATCCCTTCTAGAGAGCCCATCACCAAACAGGAGGAAGAGTGGAATCAGGCTCAGGAAGGACCTGCCTCAACAGTGACCCTTATGAGACCTAGTCTGCAGTAAAGCGTGGGCCCAGGTGCCCAGCATGAAGGGGTCAGTGATTATCTAGGTGGCCTTTTAGGTGACCACAGGGTAGAGTCATTTGGGGTGTTTGTACCCCACCTTGTCCTAGAATAGAACCCTTTGCACAGAGGCTGGCAGTCTAGGACTGTTAAGTGTTGGCTCATCCCTCTTATTGGAAAAGACCTACCTATCTGACATCCCACTGTGAACTAGGCTTTTCCAGCAAGGTCTGTCCCTGAAGCACTGTCCTCTGCAACCAGGAGGACAGGACCCGAGTTCAAATCCCCAACATGCCTGTCACCCACCACTGCGTAACAGAGACAGGCAGATCATTGACAGGGAACATGTTGGTACAGGTGGACCCCAGGGCCACCCAGGCCTCCTCTCGGGTCCTGCGATGCTGAGTCAGAAACCTCCCCACCCAGACCCCAGCCACGGACTACCCATCCCCCCTAACACTGGCAATAAACTCAACTGTGACCCAGCCTGCTCCTGAGCTGCCTGTCTGTGAGGGTCCTTGGGGAAGGGGCTGAGGAAGTACAAAGCATGTTGGCCATGTCTGGGGCTTCAGTGGATCAAAGACATCCTGGGACAAGCTCCTGTCCCTGTATTTTCTCACCGGCAGAGTGTGGCCCTGCGTGCATGTGACAGGAACCATCACATCTTCAGACACATCGAACACATCTTGTCTTAGGAACTTTAATATCGCAACAATCTTTTTAGTAGTGCCCCTTGTCAGTCTGTGGCCAGCAGGCTCCACAGAACCTGCATGCCTCCCTTCGGAGTGAATCCTAGTCTGTCCCGAAGACCAGCAGCATCAGAAGCCAGGGCCATCAGTGGAGTGCAGGAATAAGCCTTATCAGGAGGCACCTGGCTGGGGACAGTTGCCAAACAGTCCTGTGTGGGTGGACCTTGTGCCCACGAGATGCTGCATGCCGGTCCAGAGTGGGAACCTTGGCACCCCACGGTTCTCTCTTCAGGCCCGGACAGAGTTCTTTGAAGGTCCCCAGTGCTCAGCGGTGGTCACTGTCAGGCCTCGTGGGCTGTCTCTGGGAAGAAAAGTTCTCGGCATCGTTGGACAGTATCCTGAGGGGAGACCACGCTGTGGCCGACAGTCCGGGGGTCTGCATAGATCTCAAAGTCATTGCCACCCTGCATTCGGAAGGAGGACACGGAAGATGTGATCTTAGGTGATGCCCACAGGGTAGGAGGTGCCCAGGACCGAGGCCCAAGAGTCACTCTTCCCATCTGCAGACCTGCCAGGAATCCCACCACCCTGGCTTCTCAGACCTACCCCAACCTGCTGCGTGCCATGGAACATTGTCCCGCCCTCTTTGGCCCCTGGTCTTCTGAACCGCAGAGTGGGAGCACCGATTAACTCCTGGGAGGCCCCGAGAGGTCTCTGTTCTATTGCCTGTGTCCTAGCCTTGAACTCAGGTGCTTTGGGTTATGGGGACCTGGGCAGGGCCACACTCACAGGACTGGTCTCATTCCCAAAGAAGTGGATGATGTCGAAGCTGTCCTCATCCAGGCTGTCGAGGCAGTAGCGCTTATCCCAGCCCTCGGGGAAGACGTCAAAGCTTATCATGCCTCCTGTGGATGATGTGGGGGTCATGACAAAAGCCTGAGAGGGACAGACAAGGCTGGCAGCTTGTCAAGGGAAGCTCACGAGGCTAAGTTGGGCAAAACATGCTTTGTTTTTGAGACAGAGTCTTGTGAGCCCAGTTTGGCTTTGTACTATGCAGCCAAGAAAGGCCTTGAATCCCCATCTTCCTGTTTCTACCTAAGTGCCTGGCTCTAAGGCGCTTTGTTCATTTAACAACCCTGAAAGCCACCAAGGGCAGACTTGGGATCTGTAGGGTCTCATCCAGGCCAGCAGCAAGCAGGAGCAAAGGTGGGCTCACTCAGTCAGCATGGCCAGGGAGAGCTAAGGCAACATTAAGCTGGGACACAAACCACAGTGGGAGTACCCGGGGGCTCCAGGCAGCAGACACAATGGTAGGTTCTAAGTGGCCATGGCATCTGCTCTCCCCTCTGGCTACTGGGGAACAAGCTGAGATGGCAGCCGAGATAGCGGACGCCCCAGGGGTCTCGGGGAGCAGCTAGTGGCAGTGATTGAGTCGCCAGCTTCGGAAAGATCTGTGGAGCCCTCGACTACTAGCCAGTTGGACTGGGCATGGGAAGGGTGAGGACCAACGTCAGGTGGTCATTGGACAAGGCGGGCAAAACTGGCACAGGTAAATAGTGTCCCCTGTTGTGCCCGAACCCACCGTAGGAAAGGCGTACCTCGGGAGAACCTCAGCCCCTTGCCAGCAAACTCCGTCTTCAGGGCTTCCACGAATTTCTCTCGGATCTTCTCCTTCTGTACAGGGAAGGGTACGAATTGGCTCAGAGGGCCTTCTGTAAGCCATGCCTGTAACCCCCACCAGCTCCCTGATTATCTGGGTGAGTGTGGCCCCCAATACAAATGGGGCAACAGGTCCCCTCGCCTTAGTGCCAGTGCTGGGGCCTAGACCCAGAAATGGGGATATGGAGGCACGAGAAGAAAGGCGAAGGGGATGGGAGCAGAGTCAGGTCGGATCCACCCTGAGATCTACAGGCTAACTGGGTTCTAGGCCTGCTGGCTATGCTGCCTAGCTGTGCGGCCCTAGGCAAGTTACCTGACCTCTCTGGGCCCATTCCCAGAACTAAACGATAGAGAAGAAATTAGTGGCTACTGTCTGCTTCTCCTTCAAGGAAAATCAGAGCTGAGAGATGTGAGCCCCCTCTTGGCCTTGATTTTGCCTTCCTAGCAGGTGGTACGCCCCAGAGATAAGACTGTAGGTGCCCAAGTTCTGAGAAAATGCAGCTCAGAACCCAGGGCTGGGGACTGCGCTTCCTTCCTTTAGCCGATCAGCTAATGACTGGACGGCGTCATGTGCCAAGCCCAGCCCTAACATGTCCAGTGCCGAGGCCCTAAGCTGCTCAAGGCAGGTTCCTTATCTAAGGACAGCGTCCTGCCAGCCCTCCTTGGAGTCTACAGGAGATTTAGGACAGCACGTGCCATCTGGACTGCGTACAAGCACACAGCTCTCAGAAACAGCCACACGTCCCAGTCCCAGCAGAGCTGAGAAAGAACAGCGATGAGGGAAGGGGTAGGGGATGCCAGCCCTCCCCCAGCCTTTCCTGCTGCTCCAGGCCAGGCCCATCAGCTGTTCTCCATCCCCATCCCATCAGTAAAGCTGCCCTCCCAACCTGGGTAAACAGGAGGCAGAGCTGGGACTGGAAACCTAGAGAACATGGGAAGGGGCCGCCTGGCTAGGAGGTTGTCAATGATCAACCTTCCCTGTCCCTTAGCCCCGTGTCCACTGCCTACCGGAGGCCTCTGTGCATTGTGGGAGTTGTACTTTAAGACCCACCCACTCTCAGGGAAACACCAGGGACCAGTGAGCCACATCAAAGACATACTCAGCAACCAACTCCCTAAGTGACCCGCGATGACAGTCACTTCACTGAGCCTTGGTTTCCACATCAATACGATGGGAATACACCTGTTTATTCATTCAAAAGCATCCGTGGCAGGCAGGCACAGTGGAACACACCTATAATACCAGCCGACAGGAAGCCGCCTGTTGGATGCCAGCACCGTGACACAGTGAGTCTGCGGCCAGTGTGGGCCGCACACTAAGAAGACACTGCTTCAAAAAGAAAATGTTTCAAGCGGGGTGGTGGTGGCGCACGCCTTTAATCCCAGCACTCGGGAGGCAGAGGCAGTGGATCTCTATGAGTTTGAAGCCCGCCTGGTCTACAAGAGCTAGTTCCAGGATGGGCTGCAAAGCTACAGAGTAACCCTGTCTCGAAAAACCAAAAATAGAAAAAAAGGAAAAGAAAAGAGCAATGAATGTTTCTTGGGGCGGGGTTGATGTGGGTCAGTGTCAGGGTACCGCCTAGCATGTACGAGGCCCTGCGATCCATTCCCAGGACCACCGACCTCTGCACAGGACGTGGAAGGGGTGTGGGGCTGAATGTGATTGGGGCAGCAAGGACGGAGAAGAGGACAGCCTGGTCTGGGTGGTGCGCTCCCGGCAGAAGGCCCAGTGTGAAGGAGGAAACTGCTGTCTGGAGAATGAGCAGAAGCCATGGCTGCAACGCGGGCAAGAGCGGCTGGCTGAGTCAGGGTGAGAACGCGAGAGCAGGGGCGGATGAACTCACACCACCCCTGACGCGTCTGCAGAAATGACCCCCCGAAAGGGGTGATGAACAGGGAGGCGAGCAACAGGCCCGGTGATGTTTAGGGAGGCGGTTGGCGTATAAGCTGAAAAAGGGGGCATGTACTTATAACCCCAGCATTTGAGAAACTAAGGGAGATCACAAGTTCAAAGCCAACCTGGGTGAATACCTGAATACCAACAAAAAGAAACAAAATCTGGCATTTGAGAGGACTTGGTGTGTTCTGGATGCGAGTGAGAACATGGCAGCTGCAGACAGAAGGGGGGGAAGGCTGAGCCGGAGGAGGGCAGAGAGATGCTTCGGGGCTGTGAGGGGGCATGAGTCGCTACCCAGCCAGCTCTGGGGAGCCACAGAAGGCTTGTTACTGGGGAGATACAGACAGACGTGTTCTAAAGGCTCTCAAACACAGGCTGGAAGCAGAGGGGACAGAGGACAGGGAAGGGACTCGGGTAACTGAGGACAAGCGGGTGGGAGCCTAGAGTTGTTGGTTCTGGTGTGGGTAGGAATGTGGCAGCGGTACTGAGGTACAGAGGTCACTTAGTGGCCGCAGGTCACCAGGAAAGGAGACCAGCAATGACAAAAAGAGGCTGGTGTGCCACAGAAATGACACACAGGTGCCCTAGTGTGAACCTAAAACTCCTCCTCAAAACCCATTTTAATGATGAGAAAGCAAAGCCCAGAGTGCTGAGTGACAGGGCCTATGGGCCTACGGCTGCCCAGCAAATGGTACCTTGTCCAGTTCAGAGAATTCGATCCTCTCCTCCAGGGTGCAGCTGCGGCCGATGGGCGAGATGTTCAGCATGCCGTTCCGGAACTCAATGAAGGTTCCACTGGGGCGATGAAGAAAAGGGGTTGAGAAAGCCAGAAGCCACGGGAAAGGAGGGGAGAATGCTCTGAATTCAAATCCTGTCCTCTCTAGAACCACAGTCTCCCTGAACTTCACAGGGTAAAAAAATCGACCCATGCATAAGTTAGGGTCCTGGACCTGTGGGTATATAGCTCATTGGGAGAACACTTGCCTAGCATGCGCAAGGCCCCCAGGTTCTAACCCTAGCTGCAGAAAAAAATATCAAGGGGGTCCATGTGAGTGACCCCCACTCTCTTCCCCCAAGCCCAGCTCAGCGGGGTCTCACCGCTTCTTGGGTAGTCTGAGCAGAGCCATGTAGCTGAGACAGAAGTTGATCAAGTCCTGCAGGAGCTCCTCCCCCAGGTGGTTCTGGATCGTCTGTGGAAGGAACACAAGGCTCGCACTGCGGCACACACAGGACAGAGGGAGCCATTGGAAAAGTGGGGTGCCCCAGCTAAGGCCTGGGGACACTGACCTGCTTGGAGAGCAGCCGTCCATGTTTGTACTGCACTGTCCCGTTCTCGGCAAACACATAATCAAACTTCTCAATGACTTGGGACCCATGGATAAGCCGGAGAGAAAGAAAGCATTAGACAAGGACCCACTGTGCTTGGGGACAAAGCCCGTGCTGTTTGGCTTGGCGGTCTGCACCGGCTTTTCCAGCACTTCCTCAACCTGTTTTCTTCTACACCAGCCAGTCACTCCTCTAGCCATCGCTCCGGTAGGACCTTCTGCTGGGGCAGCCCCTGCAGCTCCCTCTTCTAGAAGGCTTCCCAGGAATGACCAAGAGAGGGCGCCATTTCCACTCTGCCCTCCCATAGCGGCCCCCCCCCCCCCAGACTCTATTCTCCTTTCTCAGTCTCTCTGCAGAGAAGTTTGCAGCTCTGAGGGCTCTAAGAAGCAATTGGGAGTCAGGAGGCCCAGAGAGCGTGGCTGGGATGCCCTGTGGCATCTGGGAAGATGATGGAGGCTATAGGATGTGGTGGGAAGGAGGCGTGGACAGATAGCATGGAGAGTCTGGACTTGCCAGAAAATAAATGAGGAGATAAGGAAAAGGGATAAAGGGGAAAAGATCTTTTTTATTCCAAAAAGATAAGGAAGCTTCTGGCTTGAGGGGGGGGGTCTTCCTGACAATGAGATGAAACTAAGTATTTCCAAGTTACTTCAGTTTCCACATTAAAAACAAGATAATCTGCGGGGCTTGGTGGCACACACGCCTTTGATCCCAGCACTCTGGGCGGGCAGAGGCAGGCGGAGCTCTGTGAGTACAAGGACTGCCAAGGCCTCACAGAGAAAACAAAAAAGAAAACAAAACTCCAAAGCCACAGAGAAACCCTGTCTCAAAAAACAAAAAAAAAAAAAAAGAAAAAAGAAAACAAAAAAGAAGTAATAAACAAACAGAAACCTAGAGTCGGCCCAGAAAACGCACAGCCTAAGGGCAGGAGGCTGCCGGCTCTGCTTCTAACCTTTGTTCCGGAAGTTAGCACAGTGGGGACTACCAGGTACTCACTAAATGTCTGTTCACTGGGGCACCTGGGGCTTCTTCTGCCCCACAGAAGCAGGAGAGGTGCCCACATATGTCCCAGCTCCACACTCCTACCTGCCCTACCCCAACGCCCGCTGGAAGAGGCCGCCGTGCCTACCTTCATCCCCTTCGCCCAGCTGCTCTGCGATCTTGGAGTAGTCAGAGCCTCCCACCACACCAATCTGCACCCTGCTGCGAAGCTTCTGCAGGAAGGCTGACACCTCAGGGTCAATTTTCTGTGGGGGACAGGAAGGACAAAAAGACTCCGGTTATCAAAAAATCAGGGCCCTCAAGCTGGGCAGAGGTGGTAAGCCCAGCGCTCAGGAGGCAGAGGAAGGAGGATCTCCGAGTTTGAGGCCAGCCTGCTCTACATAGAGAGTTCCAAGAGAGGTTCCAAAGCTACACAGAGAAACCCTGTCTCAAAATGACAACAATAAAATGTCTGGGACCTCTACTTGGCGCTTAGTGCTCAGAGTCAGGGAACCCGCCCTCCACCTGAATCTGAGCACCCCTAATTAAAAAGCCAGAATTTGTAAAATGCAAAACTGCTTGAGCACTAACACGATGCCCAAAGTGGAGAATTCCACAGGTGACACCTCAAGTCAGGTGTCACAACCAAGACAGAAATGCACTAAAAACACTGCACAGACAGGGCGGGGGTGTATCCTCATGCCAGAGTGCTAATCTGAAACGCCTGTGGCCTTGGGTTTGAAAAGTAAGGTATGTAAACAAAAAGCACAGCTGGGCGGTCGCGGTGCACGCTTTTAATCCCAGCACTCAGAAGGCAGAGGCGTGCAGATTTCTGTGAGTTAGAGGCTAGCCTGGTCTACAGAGTGAGTTCCGGAACAGGTTCCAAGGCTGTATGGAGAAACCGTGCCTTGAAAAAAAAAAAAAAGCCACATACAAGGTTCAAGGAGTGGGTTTGGTGAGTGGAAGAACCTATCTTGAGGTCTGTGATGAGAGAGAGGTTCTCTGACCTCCACACTCTCAATAAGTTACATGCATGTCCTGTCACACAAATGCATATAAAATATACAAATAAAACGTAAAACAAACAAAATAAACTGTCTTCGGAGTAGAACACGGTAAAGCCAGATGCGATGGCGCATGCTTGTAATTCCAACACGGAAGAGCAGTTCAAAGGCACTGCGAGCTCCGTCTTTGAGAGTGAAACTGTCTAAAAGAATAATTTTTTGAGAGCATCAGGAGTTGTCTTTAGGCTAATCTACCAGTTATACCTAAAATACAAATGAATTTTGTGTTTACATTGGGTCCCATTGCCGTCATAACTCATTATGTCTATGCTCAGAATCTGAAGAATATCTAAAACCTCAAACATTTCTGGTTGCAAATGTTCCAAATCAAAGACTCTTCACTTGCACAAGGCAGAGACCTCAGAAGCTCCACCTGCTAAGCATGGCTCCGGTGACTGAGCAAAGCGTTTTGCCTTTCTTTGCTTGGTCTCCTCTTTTATAACGGTCTCCACAGCAGGAGCCACTTAAAGGAGATCACAGCTACCCCGGGAGGAGAGAAGTGTTCAGAGTGTATACAGATTCTCCACTGAGGAAACCTGAACAGGTGAGTCAGAACTCACTTCCACATACTCAGACATCCAAGATCAGAGCTAGAGAGCATGGTAGGAGGGGCACAGGAGCTCCCGAGTGCTATCCGCGAAAGTATACGTTGGTGCAATTGTTTTGGAAGGCAATTTGGCAAGAGCCAGTGAAACTTAAAAATGTCCATACCCCAAACAGCATTTCAATTTCTCTTGCCTAAGGCACGTACAGTAGTAGTTCCTTGGGGTATGGTTTAGAACAGTGAAAACTGCAAGCAACTCCCAAGCTTATCGGCCAGACAATGACACAGGCTTCCTCGGAACTAGTACCAGGCAAGGGTACAGATAAGGCCAGATCTCTGCTTTCAACAAAGCTAGGTCCTAAAACGTGCAGTTAACTGTCTGAGGCTAGTTGTAGGAAGCCACAGGCAGGATAACGCCGAGTCACTAATAGCCGTGCAATACAATTTATATTTCCTATGGGCACATAAAAGCACCAAAGTCATACTACACAGACAATAGTAAACCTTGGGGAGAGGGCTGGCCCTGGGACACTGGTGAGGTCGAAGTGGTCTTTAGCCTTTAATGGTTGCATTCTTTGCAAAAAGAATGCACTTGTTAATACACGTATAATTAAAAATTAATGGCCTAGCAGAAAAACAAATTGGCAGGCAGTTACTGTCCAGGCCTTGCCAAGTCAGTGCAGCACAGGGTCGGGAGAGGCATGCCTAGGCGGGACCGTCCTCTCTCCCATCCTGGCATCTTCAATTCTCATCCACCCCTGCTGGAAAGAGAGGTGGCTGATCCCATCTAGGGAAGGGCTATTGGGAGTCTAAGACTTGGGTTCCCACCAGCTTCTACTGTGGAAGAATTCTCAGGCATCCCCGTTGTCCCCGCAAGGGAAAGTGGACCACTGGAAGGATGGGCAGGAATGACCATGGATGAGACAGAGGGAGGAGCAAAGATCGGAGGGTGAACCATAAAGTGTGATAGAAAGAACACATACTCCCACTTACACTGACTCAGTGACCCCCTTGCAACCAGGCTAGCCCTGGGGCCTCTCAGGACACATGGGTGGAGCCCAAACGACACCACCAACAAAAAAACAAAACTCGTCAGAAAAGCAGCTCTCTCCCTCCGACCTGAGGTGGAAGGTAAAACCCCTAAGAGGCTTAAGAAACTAAACCCAGGCTTAGGCCTGGGGACGCCAGGGTGGAATGGCTTGAAGACCTTTCTTGCCCTCACTAGAGGGCGACTGAGGGCTTGGGAGCGCGCCGAGCTCTGCCTGAACACCGCGTTCTCTAGCTTGAGGACTGGCTAGTTGTGCATCCTAGGGCTGAAATAAGGGTGGGAGCATCCCAGAGCCCCAGGCTGGGTCTGTGGAAGCCATGGGACCTGGACACCTGGCCTCCCACCCGTGGACGCTCCTCCCAGGTCTGGATCCAGACTCTGCGCGCTCAGGAAAAAACCAGGGCGTCCACCCGCGGAGCGCTGCGGCCTGGAAGGCCCGGAGGGCCTGGGTCCCATCTCCCTGCGGACAGGGACCGATACCATTGCGCTCCACATTCCCCACCGGGTGGCGTGGGTGTCCGCGATCACATGGCTGCGCGCCCCACGCTGGATCACGGATGTCCGCGTGACACTTGGCAGGAGCTGCCAAACGTCGGAGCCCTTACCTGGCGAGCGGGCGTAAGGGTCCCGTCCACGTCAAACAGGCAGAGGATGCGCTCTTTCCTGCGGGCGCCCTCGACGGCGACAGCCATGGCTGCAGCACCGCGCGCCAAGCGCTGTCGCCGCTGCAGCAGCAGCCGGGGTCGGGCGCGACAGAGGTCGGGCGGGGCCGGGGCGGGGCCAGTGTGCGGCACGGGGCGGAGCAGCGGCCATCGGTCCTCCCTCGAGGGAGCGGCCCGAGCCGCCGAAAGCGGACTCTACTGGCATCTAGGATGGAGGGGCGTGGTAATGGGCGGGATCAGAGCTCTGGGCCGACAGAGACAGGAACCGGCGGGGAAAGGGGTGGAACCGGAAAGCAGTGTCGGGCCAGGATTGGACTTTAGTTGGTTGCGGGTGATTGCAGGGCACGCCCTACGGGGGTGGAGGTGGGGCGAGGGCGGGGCTCAGAGCCCGGCTGCTCGTGTTTCGGTTCCTAAGGTTTGTAGGGCGAAGGGGGAAGAAATCTCCGGAAAAACCTGGTGCACTGGCTTACCTGTAATCCAGCACTTGGGAGGCTGCTTGCACCGCCATTGCCCAGCTATTATTCTTAGTTATATTTTTTGTTTATTTGTGCGTGGGCAAATGCATGAAACAGCAAATGTGTGGAGGTCAGAGGGCAATTCACAAGAGCCGCTTCTCTTCCTCCACCATTGTAGATCCCGTAAATCACAGGTGCCTTTACCCATTGAGCCATCTCAGCGGATAAGGCACACTAAATGCATTTGATGTAGGTTTGAGCATGAGGGTTAAGAAAAACAGAGCAGGGGGCTGGAGAGATGGCTCAGAGGTTAAGAGCATTGCATGCTCTTCCAAAGGTCCTGAGTTCAATTCCCAGCAACCACATGGTGGCTCATAACAATCTGTAATGGGGTCTGGCGCCCCCTTCAGGCCTGCAGGCATACACACAGACAGAATATTGTATACATAATAAATAAATAAATATTTAAAAAAAAAACAGAGCAACCATTTGTTAGAAGGCTCAGGACTCATCTCAACGTTTTCCTCATGACTGCCCAGCCTAACCACAGGCCTCTGGCCATGAGGAGAACACGGCTTACATAGCTCCATGTGGAAGACTGTTGGGGGAGAGGTTGACCCATCAAGAAACAAAGGGTAAATAAAGGAAGAAGACCACCACGTGACAAGAACCTGACCCAATCTATGGGCTCCAGGGACTGACAGTTGTTGACAGTTTTTCAGCATTCTCAGGTCAGATCCAAAAAGTGCTCAGGTTCTCAGTCTGGCCTTCCTGATTATTTTGTTAACTTCAAACTTGTCCACAAGACTCCATGGGCTAAGCCAGGTGGTGGTGGCACACGCCTTTAATCCCAGCACTCGGGAGGCAGAGGCAGGAAGATCTCTGTGAGTTTGAGACCAGCCTGGTCTATAAGAGCTAGTTCCAGGACAGGCTCCAAAGCCACAGAGAAACCCTGTCTTGAAAAAGAAAGCAAAACAAACAAATAAACAAAAACCCCAAGTGTCCAGGCTGGGGTATGAGTCTTTCCTGATTGCAGTTGTCTTGAGTAAGGGCCATGAAGCCATGAAGTTTCCCCCAAAGAAGCCAGAGAAGCAGTGGGGCCGTCATGGAACTGCTGGCTGGAGATGGTCTGTGGTCTGTGGCCATATTCATAGTCAGTTTCATAATGCTGGTGGATCTGATGCACCGGCACCCGCTCTGGACTGCCCGCTACCCGCCAGGCCCTGTGCCATTGCCTGCGTGGTGCAGCCTGCTGCAAGCGGACCTCGAGAATATGCCGCACAGCTTGTACCAGGTGAAGGGGATATGATGGTGGAGGGCAGCCGAGGTATGGTGCGCCTTGCTGCCTACGGTGCTGAAGCCACAGGCATTCAAGAGGAACGGTTAAGGTTGCTGTGCTTCCTGAGGGTGGGCACTGCAGGCCTGAGGACGCTCAGCCTTCCAAGGGCAGAAACATGGCAACACAATGGCAGGAAGCTGGTGCAGGATTAGTTGGATAGAGCAGAAGTCATGGAGGCCCCAAGTCCCTTCTGATCCCCTCAGTGAATGAAGCATCAGGGCTGTGGGGGAGGGATGAGGGTATAGAGCAGCATGGTGGTCAAGCAATCAGGAGGAGAGAGGTGCTGTGGTTGATGCGTGGTCTCAAGGTCACTGCTGACCTCCAGGAACCAGAGATTCCTCCTGTATGTTGGGATGCTGAGGGACCCCGTGGCAGTTCCCTGGCTCTAGAAAAGACTACAGCTGGGTGATCTCTAATCTATTATGAATCCTTTGCTGAACATAGAAAACGAGACACCCAAGTCACAAAACGCCAGATCTCAGACTGGGATGGAGCTCAGTGGTAGAGCATTTGCCCAACATATGTGAGATCCTGAGGTCAGTAACAAGACCCACAAATGTGTGTACTCATGTAGGCATGCACAATACATTAAGACTTGTATGGTGAGCCTGGGTCTAGCATCGGCTGGGGGCTTCCACTTTACGGTTGCTTTGTCCCTCCTCTTTAGTGTCAGTATTGCTTCGGTGACGTGTTCAGCCTGCAGGTGGCCTGGAAGCCCACAGTCGTGATCAACGGACTGAAGACCACGCACGGGGTGCTGGTGACCCATGGAGAGGACACTGCTGCCCATCCCCGAATGCCAGTCTGTGAACACCTGGGCTTTGGGCCTAAGTCCAGAGGCAAAGGCTGCATCAGGGGACTGGGGTGGGCAGGAGCTGGGTCACAGATAGGCTTGTGGGCAGCAACTAGAGGAAGGACAGGGCCTAATGGAGCTGGTGATGTAGTCAAGCAATGCAACGAAAAGTTGCTGAGTGTTGAGAGCAGAGGACGACACAGTTGGGTGTCCTTGGTTATACACAGATGTCCCTGCAGGTGTGGCGTTAGCACCGCATGGGCCTGAGTGGCGAGAGCAGCGGCGATTCTCTGTGTCCACCATGCGCAACTTTGGCCTGGGCCAGAAATCCCTGGAGCAGTGGGTGACGGACGAGGCAGGCCACCTCTGTGACACCTTCGCAGACCAGGCTGGTGGGTGGTGGGTGGTGGGTGGGTGGTGGGTGAGGGGTGCAGAGGGGCACAGGGAGACAGGAGCAGCACAGTGACTTGCTTACCTCTCTACTCCCAGGACAACCCCTCAGTCCCCACAGTCTCCTGAACAAAGCTGCGTGCAATGTGATCTCGTCCCTCATTTACGCCCATCGCTTTGAGTATGAAGGCCCTTACCTCGCCAGAATTTTAAAATAGCAGAAGAACATTTGGAACAACTTTCTGGCTTTATTCCTGAGGCAGGAGACTCACGGCAGTCCACAGAGCCACGTCGATGCTGTCCATCCTCCCAGGAGCAGTTGTGTGGCAAGGCCACGGGAAGGTTTTTTGGGAGTCAACTACGGGTGGAAAGACCTGAAGCTTGACAAACCTCTGAAAGTAGGAGGGGAGAAGTGGATCAAAGTCAGGGTTTCTAGAGAGGGAGACAACCTGTACCCTCTGTGTACACGGAAGCCACACAAGCCTGTGGTTTCCAGGACAGAATATTCGTTCTGTTCACCCCAGGCTGCAAGAACTTGAAGGATGGCACTGAGGAGGAGGCAGGTGATGGGTGAGGACAAACAGGCTCTGGATCCTTGTAAGGGAGCCTGTGAACTGAGACTGGTCCAGGTGGACACCGAGTAGAGGAGGCACTCAGGGGCCAGCCAAGTGGTGCATGGGTAAGGAGCTTGCCAAACAAGCCTGGAGATCTGAGTTTGATGTCTGGGAGCCACATAAGGTACAGATGATGGGCCCTATCCATTGTCCTATTCCTTGCTAACACACACCATGGTACATGAGCCCCATATACAATAAATATTAATAATTTTAAAAAGAAGAAGCACTGGGATTTCTTCTTTGCTTGTCACAGGTCCTTAATTCCTTCCCAATGCTCCTGGGCATCCCAGGCCTGGTGGATGAGGTCTTCCCATGGCAGAAGGTGTTCGTGGCCATGTTAGAGAAGCTGTTGACCGAGCACAAGATGACCCGGGACCCTACCCAGCCACCCCGAGACCTGACTGATGCCTTCCTGGCTGAGGTGGAACAAGTGAGGGTCAGCCCGGCAGTGGTGGGAGGCAGAGACAGGTGGATCTCTGTGAGTTCGAGGTCAGCCTGGTCAACAGAGTGAGTTCCCGGATAGGCTCCAAAGCTACAGAGAAACCCTGTCTCAAAAAACAAAACAGAAAACAAAGAAGAAAAGAAAAAGTGAGGAACAGCTGCAAGAGATGAAACCAGAGGCACTGGTTAAAGTGGCCCCTGGATTCTGAGGCCGGGAAGTGGCTCAGCACCTAAGCTACCTGGAGACAGTTGGAGGGTATTGTAGGGTTTCCTCTGTTCTCCTCTGAGCCCACCCTCTCTGCTGGCTCAGGCCAAGGGGAATCCTAAGAGCAGCTTCAGTGATGACAACCTGCTTCTGGTGATAGCTGGCACATTCCCTGCATGGGGTGGGGACCACCTCAAGCACACTGTCCTGGGCCCTGCTGCTCATGATCCTGTACCCAGCCGTGCAGAGTGAGCCTGGCTGGGGCTGGGAGGGAGAAAAGAGAGGCACACTCCCTGATCTTGAGACACTCATGGCTGCCAACACTGGTTTGACTCAGTTTCGGTGTCTTTCACACATGGGCCTAGACCCTAACACAGAGGTAGGAGAGGTCAAGGTGTAGCCTTTGGCTCCTTAACTGAGGGGATGCTTCCAACAGGAGGTCAATGATGTCATAGGCTGTGGATGCCCAAAAATGTGAGCCTGTTTCCACGTTGACCAAAGGTCAGAGAGTTGGACTTTACCTCTGTCCTCCAAGGTTATGGTGCTCCTGCCCCACCTAGATTTAGGTCAGAGAGTTCTGCAGTTTCTCAAGGTTATTGCCAACAGGTGTTGCTAATGCTGCTAAGAGCCAGACCTCAGCTTTCAGGAATAGAGAAGTAATTGTTTCTACCTCAATCAAAAGTCTAAGGATTCCCTTAAGATTCCAGTTCCTTCAAGGAGGTAGCTTAGGTTTTCACCTAGGGAGTGGTTGGCTAAGGAATGTTTTAGTCTAGGGTGTGAGCAAATGACTTGTTTTGTTCTAGCAACAGATTGTTTCCACTAGGCTGTGGCCCGTGACCTTCATCTGGTTTGTTCACTTCCTTGTAATCCC